TTTATTAAAGCTGGAGTCCTATGGATTCAAAAATATTTCATCATTAACATTTATAATAAAGTCTCATTTTATGTGCTGAAAAAGAAGAATAAAAAGGAGGAGGTAAACACCTGAGTTAGCATGACTTGATTCCTACTCCATACAGGAATCATAACTTTCTCTTGGGGGGGGCGGGGTCTTCCATTTATTTGATGGCTCTTTTCTTTCCATTCCAAACTCCACGCCCTTCACCATCACCTGAGACTCAGCATAAATGTCATTGACTGTTTACTCATCCTGGAAAAATGCCATCTCAAAGTATTCTACAGAAGGTCAGGTAGTGAGACCATATTTATACCATTCCATGTTCTCGATAGTGATGGCAGCCACTCAAATAACCTTGAACAGAATGATTTTCAAGTGTTAAAGTTTACAGTGAATGACAAAAGTGGCCCAGTTCTATCAGTATAAATCTTCATCTTTCCATTGGACTTTTCGTACAGTGTGCTTTCCTTTAAGCAACATGCTTAATTTGGATACGGTGCTTTATCCAGATGCCTGTGAAAAATATGACTTATAAATCATATAAATTGATTTTTAAAGTGCTTCTAGAGAAACCTGCAAATAACAACTGCCACAAGCTTCCTTCAAAATACCCACCCGCAGATTGAATTCACAGAATGACCTCCCTGCTCTACTGGTCTCCGTGTATTCTAATGTGTCACTACTCTGCCTCAGTTGGGAATGTGGTGACCACAATATCAAGCCTGTTTCTTTTTCCTCTTGGCAGGTTTTATGGCTAACCCAACCTTAATTTAATCAGTCTTTAAAATGGAAAATGGATTAGATTATTTTAGCCATCTAGAGACATTTAAAATATACAACCTCTTTAGGAAATAATGAACAACGTTCTTTTAAAATAATAAGTAGGAAAACAGAGTGCTAATGAGGTTCCATTAGGAAAATCTCACCAGGTCCCTTCATTTGCATCCTGAGGCATCCAACCCTGGAGACCGTGTGAGGACAAGGCTTTCTTTGTAACCTTTCACCACGACCGTAGGTCAGGCTTCCTGTGATTGTTTTTTCAGTCACGGTCATATGATTTCGTGGAGATTTCCTAGATACCTCACTCACATTACTGGGTAGTTAGAAAATTCTCCTCACCCTCCCCAAATAATATAAAATGATCTTTGTCTTCAAGGAACTTTTTCATCTAATGAGGTGAAAAGGATTGTATATATTTCCATCAGTTCCTTGTAGCATCCGGCCAAACTGCATGATCATGGCGTCATGTCTGGAAAACGTGGACTGCCAGAGGAGGGCGGAGCCGGCGCGCGGCAGCACCGTCACCAAGTGCATTGCAGCGATGGGGGCCAGACCTTAACAATGGGTGGAATCTTACAAATGCCGCCAGACAGCGCAAGTACACTGTACTGCTACAGCTAAGAGCCCACAACACAGGTGATCCAGGACAGATAAACCCCTCAGGACCAATAATGGGGTAA